CACTTTTATTCTTCCTCTGCCCCTGTAGAATATTCTGTTCTATCTTCTGTGAGAAGTACCGGACACATAGCTGTTCAACAAATATTAAGTTCCTCCTTTGTGAAAAAATATTAAAAAATTACGTGATCATGTAGAAAATGTATATGCCTTATTCCTGCAAAGACAGTACGATCTCTTAGTATTGATACTCATGTCACAAGATGGAACACATTATAATATAACTTCCTATTTATTTATGTTTTCCTAAGCCAAGTAAATTGAGGTTTAGTATTTAATAGATGCTTATGAAGAGAGAATAACTAAGGCAATCACTTTAAAATCAATTATTTGGCTCATACCCTCTCATACAGTGGCTTCTGGTGTTCTTCCTCTGTTGTGTAATTTTAGAAATACAGGACAGAGGTCTCCATGAGTAATGCTTTAGTAAAATAGTTAATTATATGCTATCCTTCATAAAGTTCTTAATATAGGTCAGGCATTTTGCTGGAATATGTACATATATGTGTATATATAATTTCTCATCCTTTCAAAATACTTAAGGGATTCACAGGTGACAGGTAAAGAAACAGATTCTGAGATGTGAATGAGCCTGAGTAAAATCATCGATAGTAAATTATGGAAGCCCATCTAACTCCAGGTCCTTTCTCTTACCCCTTGGCCACATTTCTCTGCTTCCACAGATCCAGTGGTGATCGTTAAATTGATTAGCATTGATAATACTGATGTTCCAAAATACTTAGATGTTATTTTCAGGCTCATTTAAATATTAATTAAATACCAATGAAGTCCAAAGTCATTATGTAATTGACTAACACCAGAAACTTAGTAATCAGTTTTAGGGTAGGATTCACACGTTCATGGACATAGATGTCATTGTAATATATCCAATTTTATCTTACAAAATGACCATTTCTCTAGACCTTTTTGAATTCCACAGTGCTTTTAAAATAACCATTGTGTGCTTGTTATTTTATCTGCAGAATGTCCTCAGTTTGAAGTCTGTCTCCATAGAATTAAGGAAGATGGCTTTTGCTCTTGCTGGGTTTTCTTTTTATTGTTGAGTTGTAAGAGCTCTTTTTATATTCTGAATATTAGACCATAATCGGATATGTGATTTGGAGATATTTTTCTCCTGTCCCATGGATAGTCTTTTCATTTTCTTGCTAGCATCCTTTGATGCATAAGTTTTTAATTTTGATGGTCTATGTTTTCTATTAGATATATCTATATTATCTGTTAGGTATCTGTTATCTATATTTTCTTCGGTTGTTTGTGCTTTTGCTGGCATATCTAAGAAACTAATGACTGATCCAAAATCACAAAGATCTACATCTATGTTTTCTTCTAAGAGTTTTGTAGTTGTATCTTGTATACTTAGGTGCATGTTGCATTTTGCATTAATTTTTGTATATGGTGTGAGGTAACAGTCCAGCTTCGTTCATTTGCATGTGGATATCCATTTGTTCTCACACCATATACTGAAAAGACTGCACTATTCACCATTCAGTTGTCTTGGCACCCTGTTGGAAATGAATTGACCATAGACGTGAGGGTTTTATTTCTGTGCTCTCAGTCTCATTCTGTTGATCTTTGTCTCTACCAGTACCTCACTGCTGTGATTACTTAGCTTTGTAGTAAATTTTGAATTGGGGAAATGTAGGGTCTCTCCTCTGGAATGTTCCCTATGTAATGAAAAAGAATGTGCATTTTACCCTTACTGGGTAGAGTGTTCTATAGATGTATGTTAGTTCTATAATTGTCTGTTAGGTATAATTGATTTGTATTGTTCAAATCTTCTATTTCTTCTTTGATCCTTTTTTCAGGCATTATTTTTATTATGGAGAGTGTGATATTGAAGTTCCCAATTATTATGGTTAAATTGTCTATTTCTCCTGGTAATTCTGTCATTTTTTTACTTCATGTACTTTGAGCTCTATTATTACTTATGTGTGTATATATTTGCATACATTTTTTGAATTATCATCTTGATAGACTTGACTCTTTTATCATTATAAGTAAATGTCCTTTTTCTCTGGCAACAGTTTTTGTCTTAAAGTCTGTTTTGTCTGATATTAGTGCAGCTACGGTAGTTCTCTTTTGATTCATATTTCCACGGTTTGGTATATCTTCTTTCCTCCTTTTCAGTTTATTTTTATCTTTGAATCTAAAGTGTGTCTCTCGTAGACAGCATATGGTTGGATCTTTCTTATTAAGCAGAATGCCATTTTCTGCCTTTTAATTTATTCCACTTAGTTTAATCCATTTACATTTAGTGTAATTACTGATAAGGTAGGATTTACATCTCTCACTTTGCTTTTTTGTTTTACCCTATGTCTTACATCTTTTTGGTACCTTACTCTCCCCTTTTGTGGTTAGGTATTTGTTTATTGTATCACTTTAACCCATTACCATTTCTTTTTCTACTTTTTATGTTTTTTTTAAATTATTTTCTTAGCCTGCCCTGCAGACTACAATTTATTTTCTAATTTATATCAGTCTTTCTCAGAATTATACCAACTTAATTTTAACAGGACACAAAAGCTTTGCTTCTCTTTAGCTCCGTCCTCTCCTGCCCACCTTTGTATTGTCACTGTCATGAAGATTGCAGCTTCCATACATCGTGTGTCCATCAACACAATTATAATTAGTTCTTCATTCAGTTGGTTTTTAAATCAAATAGGAGAAAAAAAAGTTACTACAAAAACACATCTATAGTTTTGTATTTCCCTAAGTAGCTATCTGTATCAGTGTTACTTATTTTTTCATGTGGACTCAAGTTACTATCTAATGACTTCTCACTTTACATTAAAGACTTCTTTTACTCTTTTGTGTAGAACATGTCTGCTGTTGAATTCTGTTTTTGCTTACCCGAGAATATATTAATTTTTCCATTTAAAAATTTTTTTTTAACATTTTATTTATTTTTGAGAGAGAGAGAGGGAGGGGCAGAGAGAGAGGGAGACACAGAATCCAAAGCAGGCTCCAGGCTCTGAGTTGTCAGCACAGAGTCCGATGCGGGGCTCCAACCCACGAACCGTGAGATCGTGACCTGAGCTGAAGTTGAACGCTTAACCAACTGAGCCACCCAGGAGCCCCAAATTTTTCCGTTTTTGAAGGATAGTTCTGCTGGTTATAGAATTCTTAGTTGACAGTCTCTTGCTTCTAGTACTTGAAAAGTGGAATCCCATTGTCTTCTGGCCTCCATGGTTTTTCTTGAGAAATCAGCTTTTGATATTATTGATACTCTCTTTCACATGATGAGCGGCTTCTGTCTTGCTGCTTTAAGATCTTCTCTTTGTCTTTGTCTTTCAACATTTTGATGATGTTTCTAGGTGTGGGTCTCTTTGAGCTTACCTTACTATCAGTGTTTTGAGCTTCTTGGTTGTGTAGATAAGGTTTTTCATCAAATTTGGCAAGTGTTTAGCCATTATTTCTCTTTCTAATCTTTTTGCTTCTTATTTTCCTCTCCTTCTGGGTATCTCATTATGCATATGTTCCTGTTTGATGGTGTTTCACAGGTCTCTGGGACCCTGTTCACTTTTCCTTATCCTTTTGTATCTTCTTCCTCAGAATGGATAATCTCAATTGATCTACCTTCAGGTTTACTTACTCTGTCTTCTGCATGGTTATATCTGCTGTTGAACCTCTCTGGTGAATTTTCCCTTCCAATTATACTTTGCCACTCAAGAATTACTTTGGATTCTTTACTATTTTTATATCTATATTTAGTGAGGCATTGTTATTATCCTTTAGTTCTGTAGACACAGAGTATCCTTTAGTTTTTAAAATATATTTAAAATAACTGATTTAAAGTCTTTGTCTAGTAAGTCCAGTGTCTCGTCTTCCTCAGGGACCATTTCTGGTGATTACTTTTTTCTCGTTGTATGAACCATACTTTTGTGTTCCTTTTCATATCACCTAATCTTTTTTACTAAGACTGGACATTTAGTGTGTCAGCTATGGAAATCAAATTCTCCTTCCTCCCAGTATTTTCTGTTTTCCTTTTTTTATTTAGTGACTTTTCCAAAGTCACTTTGTAAAGTTTATATTTATTATGTGTTATCACTGAAGTGTTTCCTATCTGTTACCTTAGTGGTCAGCTAATGATCGGACAGCGATTTTATTGAATGCCTGGAGACTGAGTACCAAGCAGGTTGGAATAACAGGTCTTTAAAACTCAGCCAGTTGGTTTACAACTAACTCTTTCCTTGACCTTGCCTTTCCTTCTTGTGAGAACCGCAGGGTCATCCTGAGGAGAGAGCCTAGGGTCCTCCCAGGTCTTTCCTGGGCCTGTACCTGGCACTGTGCAGCTATGTAGCCTTCTAGATTCCCAGGAGTATGTCAGAGTTTTCAAAGGGAGAATCTCATCCTGGCCCTTTTCTAGGTGGCTTTTGATTAGACTGTTGTTTGCTCCAACCACCTCAAGTAGCTGAAATCTTATGTAATTGCCTCTATTTATTTTCCTTAAATACCCTCAGGGAAAAGGCTTTTTGCACTGGATGAGTCCAAGCCAGGTCAAATGCAGTCCTCAGGGAATGAGGTTGAAAGAGCCCCTCCCTGTTCTCCTCCGGCAGTGGCCCTCAGCCTGCTGGAGTCCACTGTGGTCAAGGCTGTGGGTTTTCAAGGCTCCTGCAGAGCAGGGAGTGAAGGGTGGGAATAGGGCTCATTAAAACATCACAGAGCTCACTGCTCCTACCAAGGTTCAGCCAAATTTTTAAAAATAAATGCTCCTTAGATCTCTGCAAACCTTTTGTTAATTTCCAGAGTTTTGACACTGTTGATTCTAACAATTTTTGCCAGTTTCTTTTTGCTTTTACAGAGAGAATTTTTGGAAGTTCTTGTCATTTTCACTGATGTCACTCTTAATATTTTTCTTTACACTATAATTAGATGTGGAGTTAAATGTTAGCTGAATTAATAAAGAGTCACTAAAAGCAGAGTGGTTCTTTTTGTCCAGAAACTTTTCTGAACTTTTTTATACTTCTCCTGTTTTATTGTAGGACTATGATGATGGTTATGGCACTGCTTATGACGAACAGAGTTATGATTCCTATGATAACAGCTATAGCACCCCTGCCCAAAGGTAAGAGACCATCTCTGACTGGACCCTGTTAACAGACACTTGTGCCCTTCCACGTTTATGCACTCTGGGAACTGGATGGTGATCAGACAATGAGGGTAATTTGACTTGGCTTGCTTTGTTTCTTGTTTGTTTTAATTGGAGAGGCCCTCTCCGTCTTAGCAACTAGCATGCATCACCCCTCCGGAACTTATTGTAGTGTTAAAGCAATGAAGCTTGAAAAATAAAAATTGAAGTTTTATTTACTCTAAAGTTTTAACTCAGTGTTCAGTGTATTCTAAGGAAAAACAATGTCTTCAAAGTCTGTGGCTCTTCAAGTGCCCCAAATCATATGAACAATGTGGAAATACCCTACGTTGTCAGTGCCTGAGGAGGAAAGCCCCAGAAGTTTAGCTTGGCATTCCAAGAAGGTTTCCGTTTCTCAGCAGCAGTGATCCTGTTTTCTAACAACTTCAAAGTCATATTTGTGAATAATGAGTTAGCTCCGCTTCATTTTCTAAAGAAGTATTTACCCAGAAATAACTAAGTGTTATCAGAGGCAAAACAGAGCTTTATAGTTACCTCTTGTGATAATATACCTTGATGTTCATTGATATATGAAATCAGTGTTTATTCTGTTCAGAATGTTTTCCTAAATGCCTAGAAACCTCTTGCTTTATGTTTAAAATTCTAAGTGGGGGACAATGATAGACACATGTACAAAACAAAATAGCGGCTTTATGAAGCATAAAAAAATACAAATTGCGTGGTTGTTTTGATGAAGTATAAACCACTTCTGAGCTCACGTGGCACCAGGCAACTTTGAACAGGCAGCTGCTGTTACTCGTGAGCTCTGGTACCCAGGTTGACAAGGATATAAAATTCTTTTTCCTTTCAGGCTCAGGTCACATTTTTTTTCTCGTATAACTTGTAACAGTTGAGACCCTTCAGTCTTGGACTCCCAACTTGGTCTTGGTCTCTGTGAGTGGAAACCTCACACTGGTATCCTTGAGGGTGTTGGCGCAGCCTGGGGGGACCGGCACTGGTAGATGCTAGCCACGACGTCACATAGTATCTCATTTAAGTGTCCCGGCAACTGTATCAAGTATGGGGCACCGTTCTCACTATATAGATGAAGAAAAGGAGCACAGAGCACAAGATGAAGCCATTTGCCAGAAATCCCCTGTGGAGTGTAAACCTCTTACTTGTGTCTCGTTGAGTCTGAATGGTTACAGCAGGAGCTGACGAATCTGTTTTACAAATGGCGAACTGAGGGCTCAGAGAAGTAAAGGAGCAATCCGGAACGTGAGCCTTGACCTAGGGAGCTCGGAGTCTTAATGTTAGAGTGATAGCATTGTTAATAAGATGGATCACGAGTGTTCATCCCTTTGGTCATTTATGTAGCCAAAATTTGTTGAACCTCCGTGTGCGTCGGGGATGCTCGATGCTTGGGATACAAAGATTATGGAGGCGAACACCCTTTGAAAAGCTCACAGGCCAGAAGGAAAAAGAAAAAAAATACTTAAGAGTAATGTAATACGGTAATCGTTATGAGAGGTCTGAGGAACACTTCGGGATTTCCCGAAGAAGGCAGCGCTAAAGTCTGGTTGAGAACCCTGAGGACCTTTCACTGAGAAAGGGAAGGGTGAGTGGGAGTCACCAGGGTACAGACAGGGAAGGGCATTTCACCGAGCTGGAATATCGGGGCCCGGTGGGGGCAGCACGTGCCATCTGCAACTCCAGTTCATGGGCAGAGCTAGAAGGTGTGAGGCGCGGCAGGGAGGTGGGGGGAGGAGCGGCCGCACTCTCCCCCCTGCGCGTGCTGAGACTCGGCGCCACGGGCAGCAGGTGGCCCGGAGCCCCAGAGAGTTACACGCGAGGCGCGGTGAGTTTCGACTTGGATTCAGAGAGTCATTCCACGGCCATGGAGGGGCTGGACTGACAGGTGGGAAAGCCTCGAGGCAGGGACCAGTTAAGAGGCTGGTACATCATGAGGCCTTTAAATGTCAGGGAAGACTCACTTAAAGAGGCATCTTGCCTGACAACCCCCCGTCTACCGTCTTTGAAGTGATCTTTGCAGTGTTGCAACTCATCATACCTGGAGGAGGACGGAGGATTGTGTGAGGGTGGCACACGTTGACAAATTGAGAAGCCACTCTTGGTTAGGTGTTCTGAGTGTGCGTCTAATCCTCATGACCTGTGACATAAACGTCAGTCCTTTCAAAGAAGAAGGAAACTGTGATTTATCAGAATTAGACAACTTGCCTAAGATCACACAGCTTACCGGCAGAGGAGCAGACTTTGAACCTGGGTCCTGCCTACACGTGTCCCCTCACGCCATGTGCCCCCCCAACAGCTGTCCCCCCCCCCAACCGGGTCCCCCCCCCCCCACACACACACACAGCCTTACTGGGTGTGACTAAGCAGCTGCTCTACTGGAAACTCCTGGAAACTAAGCAGCTATACGATGGAGGTTGACAAGATGGTTTTATGCACTGTATTAGTTTGCTAGAGTTACCGTAACAAAATAACCACAGTCTAGGCGGCTGAGGCAATAGAATTTTATTTTCCCACAGTTACAGAGGCTAGAAGCCCAAGGTCAAGGTCTTGGGGGATTTGGTCTTTCCTGAGGCTTCTTCCCTTGACGTACACATGGCCGCCTTCTTGCTGTGTCCTCACGGGGTCTTTCTCTGTGCATGTGCATCTCTGGTCTCTGTGCATGTCCACGTTTCCTCTCTTCCAATGGCACCAGTCAGATTGGATGAGGACCCACGCACAGCCTCATTTTAATTTAATCACCTCTTTAAGGGCCCCATCTCCAAATACGCTCCCATTCTGAGGTACTGGGGGGTGGGGCTTCAACATACGATTTGGGGTGGGGGCACAGTCCAGCCCATCGTATGCACATACTGTAACACTTGGTTTAAGCACAACACTGAATGTCTCAGAATTAGAAATCTGGTATAAACCAGTTAGGATACCAAATGTTCAAATCATCCCCAGGACCAAAAAGTGAGTACTAACAAGGAAATCACCACCGATTCTTTTTCTCTCCCTCTCTCTGCCCCTGCCCCCTTTCTCAAAGTAAATAAATAAATGTAAAAAGAAGAGGAAATCACTACCACCGTCCTCTTCAGCGACTTGAGTGTTTACTCTGTGCTTGGTACTGTTTCGTGGGCTTCACATCAATTCTCTGTCCCCTCTCAGCGTGCCCCGGAATAGTGCAAAATTCAAGTCTAAACATGCCATTCCCTTGCATACAGGTTCCGAGAGGTTAAATGGCTCATCATCCACACTCGAAAGGCTGAGCAGTGGTACAAACTCACCTTGGTCCCAAAGCGTTCTCTTTGTACTTTGTTGCATTGCCTTTCCAGTCTGCTTGGATCTCAGTGGCTGGAATTAATTCCAATCAGTATGTCCCATAAACGGTCTTCAAAAATCTAATACTTTGTGATGCTTTTGAATCCCCTAAGAATTAGGCCTCCCATCTGATCAGGAAGCATTGCCTTGTCAGACGTGGACTACCTCTCTCAAACCTCGAATTTCATTTCTGCTGCGTATTATTGTGGGACCGGACTGATGGAATTAAGGGCCTTATTTTTCCGATTGTACGTTAGTTCCTTTCGGCAAATAGCATTCACCGCCACCCCTCTCAAGGAGCACACAGCCTTAGTGTTCACTAACAGAGAATGCCCCAGAACACTTGATCCGTGGTCTGAAAGTCCTGGACTTTGCCACTTCAGGTCCTGTAAAATCAACTTCGGACTTCAGTAGTCCTCTCACGTGTGCGTCTAGTTCAGTGTTACTGCCGAATTCTTTCCTTGGTTGGTCTCCTCTTAGATCGAGAGCTGTTCTGAAGACGTTCTTTGACGCATGTTGTGGAAGAAAGAGCACAAGCACAGGTTGGACCGCACTGTCCACCGGTGGCAGCTCGCGCACGTGCCCGCCGAGTGCTTGCAGTGTGGCTGGCGCGGTGGGTGTGCTGGGCGTGTAGGCCACGCGGCGGCGTCCGAAGACTTCGTAGGAGATAGACGATGAAATAAACACCTTGCTAAAATTAATTTTGCCTGTTTCTTTTTAAGAAAGCTTTTCTTAAGCTTTTTTAAAATGTTTATGAATTGGAAAGAAAGAGTGGTAGGTGGGGGAGGGACAGGGAGAGAGGGAGAGAGAGAGAATACCGAACAGGTTCCACGCTGTGACCACAGAGCCCGACGCAGGGCTTGAACTCGCGAGCTGTGAGATGGCCCTTGACCTCCCGAGCCAGCTGGGCGCCCCTTTTGTTCTTTTTAGCGTGGCTACTAGCGAACTTTAAACTACAAATTTCTCGTAGATAATGCAGCCTTACGTAAGACCGCAGCTTGCTCTGTCTCTGCCGAGACAGCACAGCGTGGTGTCTCTGGATGAGGTCGCGCACCCCTGGGGTAAGCAAACCAACACACCAGGTACAGAGAGGGCCAACACATGGTCATCCTCGTAAACTTCTGATGTTTTGTGTCGCGTGGAAACATAACTTCTTAATACTGTGGTACACGTGCTACACGTGCATGTAAACGGTCACAGTTACGAGATCAAAAATGGTTCTCCTGGGGCGCCTGGGTGGCGCAGTCGGTTGAGCGTCCGACTTCAGCCAGGTCACGATCTCGCGGTCCGTGAGTTCGAGCCCCGCGTCGGGCTCTGGGCTGATGGCTCAGAGCCCGGAGCCTGTTTCCGATTCTGTGTCTCCCTCTCTCTCTGCCCCTCCCCCGTTCATGCTCTGTCTCTCTCTGTCCCAAAAATAAATAAACGTTGAAAAAAAAAAATGGTTCTCCTGATACGGATGTGATACGGAAGACTTTTGGAGATCCGGGCCACGGTGGTTAAGAGACTGGTCTACCTGTATTTAGACCCCACGTTAATATTTGCTGGTTATGTGGCTTTGGGCAAGTTGTTTGACCTCTCTCAGCCTCAGTTTGTAACGTGTGCAACTTTGCTGCTTCTTTAGACGGCCAGCCTGAAAGTTGCATCAGTCAGGAAAGCCCACAGTC